AAAAAAAAAAAACCAACTTGGCATTAATCATAAAGCAGCATTTTAACTGCCTGAATGTATAACAGCATAAAGCAAAAACACTGGACACTCTGCACAGCCCACCCCTGCCCAGCAAAGGCCATGGACGCCATCTGGGCAGGGGCATCCCTCCACCGCTGAGTGGACAGCACAGATCTGGTGTGGAGGTCAGCCCACAATCTATGACTTGAAAGAATGAGGTGAGAACACAGGTGGAGATGGGATGCTTCAGCTCACAATGTCACCTTCCACTCAGTGCTGCCCTTGTCCTCCATCCGCCCTCCACTCCATCCCTAAAGTTTCTGGCACCCACCAAGGGGACTTAGGAGACAGGAACCTGCCTAGGGAAGGGTTCAAAACAGACATACCTGCTTTATTTTAGAAACATGAGCCATTCAGAAATTTTATTTGCTTCACTTTAAAAACATCTAAGACTGTTTGTATGGTTATTCCCCAAACCCTCAATCCTGCCAGGCCAGTTTTAATACCCAAGCTCTCTTCAGGTCCTCAGGCCTGGAAGCTGTAGGGAGATCATTGAATCCTTGAGGGCAAGAGGATGGTGTCAACTTCCTCTAAGCAGAGCCAGCTGCTCTTCAGACAGGGCTGGTGAGGCTGCCTTGACATTCGCAGCAAGGGGCAAACCTGAAGGAAGTACTTGAGGGGTGCCTGTCTGATGGGGGAGGTCTCAGACTAGCCCTCCCCAAATCCCTTGTCCAGGTGGCCTCCCCCTTCCCCAGCCTCAGGGGAAGTCAAGCTGCCAAAGTACTCCTGCAGCTCCAGCAGCGCCCTGAAGCGATGGGAGATGGCGTTCTTCTCAGCCTTGGGCATCTCTGCATACCTGAAGGATGACAACTGCAGCTCAAAGAGCGATCCCAGATTCAGGGAGGAAGTGTACCTCCACTCTCCACCATCCCACCTGGAGCTCACAGAGCCCCGGCAAAGGGGAATAGGGAACACCAGCTCCTGGTAGCCAGTTACTTTTTAAAAAAAATCAGAGCATTGGCTTGGCGCCTATAGCTCAACCGGCTAAGGCGCCAGCCACGTACAACTAAGGTGGCAGGTTCGAATCCCCAGCCTGGACCCGCCAAACAACAATGACGGCTGCAACCAAAAAATAGCCGGGCGTTGTGGTCCCAGCTACTTGGGAGGCGGAGGCAGGAGACTCGCTTGAGCCCAGGAGTTGGAGGTTGCTGTGAGCTGTAATGCCACGGCACTCTACCCAGGGGGACAGCTTGAGGCTCTGTCTCAAAAAACAAAAAAAAATCAGAGCATTAAATTTCACTGTAGGTAGAACCCGTATCAATGAGCATGGAGGGATATTAAACTTGCTTTCCTGTGCCCAAAAGTCCCTAGGGAAGCTGGGGAGAGGGGATGAACCGCATGTTTGATCAGCTTTGTCATCTGTTGACAGGAAGCACTGGGGCCTGACAAAGCAAACACAGCAGTCCCCTCTAATGTGCTGGGGGCAGGGGCCCATCCTCCGTGCCAAGACTCTGATGACATGAAAATCTCACACCCACCTGTGGCCTTCAGACTTGCACTGTCCAGTTTGGTAGCCCCTGGCCTCCTGTGGCTATTTAAATTAACCATAACTGAATAAAAATAAATTTAGTTGGCTCTGCACCTGTAGCTCAGCAGTTAGGGTGCCAGCCATGTATACCGGAGCTGGTGGGTTCAAATTCAGTTTGGCCCTGCCAAACAACAATGACAACTACAATTGAAAAATAGCTGGGAGTTGTGGCAGATGTCTGTAGTCCCAGCTACTTGGGAGGATGATGCCAGAGAATCGCTTAAGCCCACGAGTTTGAGGTTGCTGTGAGCTGTGATGCCACAGCACTCTACCCAGGCCACAGCTTAAGACTGTGTCTCAAAATATATAAATAAATAAAAATTAAAAAAATAATAATAGAATAAATTTAATCCCTCAGCCTAACCCCATTTAAGTACTCCAAAGGCATATATGGCTAATGGCCACACAACTGGACAGCACAGATAGAAAACATTTCTGTTACCAAAGAGCTTCTTGGACAATGCTTTTTTTTTTTTTTTTTGAGACAGAATCTTGCTCTCGGTAGAGTGCCATGGTATCACAGCTCACAGCAATCTTCAACTCTTAGGCTTTAAGCAATTCTCCTGCCTCAGCCTCCCAAGTAGCTGGGAGTAGAGGCATCTGCCACAATGCCAGGCTATTTTTTGTTGCAGATGTCATTGTTGTTTAGCTGGCCTAGGTGGGGTTTGAAGCCACTAGTCTCGGTGTATGTGGCTGGCGCCCTAACCACTGTGCTACTGGCACCGAGCCATCTTGGACAATGCTTTTTCACAATGTCTTCAGCCTTGCCTGCCTACTTTGAGTTCAGAGGCCACATTCCCTAAGAGACCCCCCAGCCTGGGAAGCCTGATTCCAATAATGTCCTTTGTAAATAAGGGGCTATTAGTGTGAAATATTCAGAACTTGAAGGCTTAATGTGGGACCTACCAGAGGATGCAAAAGTGCTAATGTTTTCCCAATCTAGATGGCAGAGTCAGAAAATCATCCTACAAAATTGTCAAGTTTCTATACAAATAAGCCAAGGCAAGGGAGGGGAAGCTACTGGTCACACAGCTGATCTGGAGTAAGCTGGCGCCTAAAGAGCCCCACAACCCTAGCTCCTCCCAGCTGCCTCCTCCACACTGTGCCCTGGGCCATCCAGATTCCTTGTGGGCCACCCCAGCAGAGCTGCCTCCAGCTGGAACAGCCTCAGAGCCTGCCCCGCCCACATCTGCATGCCTGCCCTTAGGCGGGGCAGCCACCCAACCCAGACCACAGCTGTCCTGACCCCACATCCCAGGGAAGAAAACAGGGGCTCCTCACGTCTGCTTGTATCCATCAGGCTGAAAGCAGGGGTCCCAGCCAAAGTCCCGGCAGCCTCGTGGCATCACAATCTGGCCCTGCAACAGGAAAGAGGAGGACAGGGGTAAAACTGGGGATAGACTAAGAGGACAGCAGCCAGTCTGAGTTTGGTTAGTTTATGAACTTGATGAGATCCTATTTACTCAAAATGTAGTTTCAAAGGGTGTACAGTACCTGTAAATGTTTGTTAAGTCATAAATAAAATGCCGTGAGGTGGTGCCTATGGCTCAAGGAATAGGGTGCTGGCCCCATATACCAGAGGTGGTGGGTTCAAACCCAGCCCCGCCCAAAACTGCAACAACAAATTAAAAAAAAAAAATGCCATGGGGCAGCTGTCCCCTCACAGGGAGGACTATGTACTTGATCTGTCTACCAACATCTCTGGGGCTACTTTCCCTCTCTACACCTTGGACACACTGTGATTTCATTGAAGAAAAATGAGTCAGCTTTGAAAAATGGACAGAAAGCATTTCCTCCTAATGGCAAGTTAAGAGCTCTGGACTTTGTAGGCAAGCCCCAGGCCTGCTACTGTTACAATATTGCTCAAAATACAGAGAGGTTCTAACAATGAAGTGAGATACCATAATAGGAAGTACTTATCCCAGTAGCCAATGCATAAATGCGCTCAGTAAGTACTAGCTGTAGCTATAAAGAGAACAAACTGTAATCCAGTGACATGAAATGTCATGTTGCCATCAACGTAAAAAAAAAAAACTCACTGGAAAACCATAAGGGAGGTGGTGGATAATGGGGATTAGCCACATAAATGCCAAGTCATTTGCCCGAAAGGCAAATTCTCTTGCCACTATGCAGAGCTGTGTGACCAAGGCCAATAACCAAACAACTCCGAACCTCGCCCATGTACTAAGTGTTTTTGAGTAGGGTCACAGCAGGCCTGGTCTTGCTCTCACATAATGGACATCTCAACAAAGGCATCACAGCAGTAATTTTTTATTTTTTTGAGACAGAGTCTCACTTTGATGCTCTTGGTAGAGTACCATGGCATCACTGCTCACAGTAACTTCAAACTCTTGTGCTCAAGAGATCCTCCTGCCTCA